ACTGTGACTTTTCCACTCCACAAAGCTATTATTGGGAGGAGGGACCAGGGGAGAGCCAGGTCAAGGAGGAATTTACTGGTTTTAATTCTTTATTCTTGATAACTAGGTGCTAGGCTCAGTTATGTCTACCTGCTGAAGAAATATAAGAGCTGTCAGTGAACTCTTTGCAAACTTGGAGCAAAACCTTGATTTTTCTACTCTAATTATGATTTTAGGTATAACACATTGTTTTCACTTGAGGGTGAGGGTGAAAGTGGGGAAAGGTTAATAATCTTCCCAAATCACTATATCCTACATTTAAACTTTAGCTGTTTGTACATGTGACTCTTAAAACACAATTGATAGAAATTTAGTAAGAAGTATAAAAGGAAGGGGCAGCTAGGTGGCGTAGTGGATAGAGCACAGGCCCTGGAGTCAGGAGGACCTGAGTTCAAATCCGACCTCAGACACATAATACTTTCTAGCTGTGTGACTCTGGGCAAGCCACTTTACTCCAATTGCCTCATTTAAAAAAAAAAAAGAAGTAGTATAAAAGGAAATGACAGGACAACCCATGGCTTGGTTTCAAATCCTGATGCAGATACATCACTTGTGTGATCACGAGTAAATACCTTAACCCCTCTGAGTCTTTTTCATCATCCATAAAATGGGAATAATAATGGGATAATAATACCTGAAATGCCTATCTCCAGGGTTTATTGGGAAGTTCAGATGCACTAATAGAGGGTGTCCCCAAAATTTTAATGCAATTCAGCCTTAATAAAGCTTAAAGTGTAAATGCAGAGTCCTCTGAAGGCCTTAAATCCACTTTTATGATCATTATTATGATCACATAATGCTGCGATCTGATTCCTACATTACAGTAAAAAAAGTCAGATATGTGTACACTTTTTTAATTATTAAAATTCTATATGAATTCCTATCATCATCACTATTGGGATGGTTTGGATAGGTAGAGGGATTGAATAGGAACTGATTGAATGACTAGACGCAAAGAACAGTGATAGATCAATATCAACCTTGAGGGAGAATTTCAGTAGAATACCCTAGAGCTCTGTGCTAGACCTTGTTCTATTTGAGATTTTTGTCAATAATGTGAATAAAAGCCTACATGGCATGCTTTTCAAATGTGCAAATGGCACAAACCTTGGAGGGAAAACTAATACATTGGATGAGAAGATTAAAATTCCAAAAGATCTTGACAGGCTGGCACATTGGGCCAAATTTAATAAGATAAAATGCAACAGGGAAAAATATAAAGCCCTCTACTCAGGCCCAAGGTAGGGGAGATGTGACTAGATAGCTCATGTGAAAAGGACCTGGAGAAGCCATTCTGGGAAGCAATTTAGAAATATGACCAAAAAAAGCACTTGAAACAATAATACCACTAGTAGTAGTCTATACCCCAAAGAAATCAAAGGGGGGGAGAATGTACACATATATGTATTACATATGTATATAAGCTATACCTATATGTATAAATGTATGTATATATAGCAGCTCTTTTATTGTACCAAAAAAAAAAAAAAAACCAGAAACAAAGAGGGTGCTCATCAATTAGAGAATGACTGAACAAGTTGTGGCATAGGAATGTAATGGAATATTATTACACCATAAGAAATGACAGAAGTGGAATAGGCTACCCTTTTCCCTGCTTGAAATAATAATTATAACTTATATTTACATAGTACTTCAAAGTTTGCATGTTTCACATAGTTATCTTTCATTTAAGCAATGAAGTAGATACTACAGGTATTATTATCTCCATTTTTACAGATGTAAAAACTCAGACTCAGGTTAAATGATCTGCTCATGCTTACACACTACTGTCAGAAATAGGATTTGAACCTATGTTTTATTAACTCCAGGTCTAAACTGCTCTCTGTTCTACCAAGCTGCCTTTCTAGCATACTACTTCTGAAGAAAACGGCATCCAAGATTATGTGAAAAAGTACTTTAAAATCTTTGGAAAGAAAATATCATAGCAAATCCAGACTCTGAAACTTACTAGCTATGTGATCACAGGCAAGTCACCATATTTATTTAAGCCTCAGTTTCCAGTTCTATAAAATAGGCATAATAATACCTGTAGGAAGTACCTCACAGGCCTGTGATAATATAATGAGATAATTGATATACATGATGCTTTTCAAAATTTAAAAGAGAGGCTGAATGAATAGAATGCTAAACTTGAAACAAAAGAACCCTCCAAAATTTACTGAGGGCCCATATGCAAGTCACAGCCTCTCTGAACTTCAATTTCTTTTTTTATCTGTAAAATGACAATAAGTTACGTAACTTCTACTGCACAAGGATTTTGTTAAAATCAAGATTTCAGATCACCCAAAAGTCAATAGAGATAGAAGATACATACATCAGTTATAGTACATTACAAATGATTGATCACAAACAGAAAAAAAAGCAGGCACAAAAGATATCAAATTGATGAACAATGGAGAATGAAGTGGGGGCTGACCTCCACATAATGTTGAGACATAGAGGAAGGCCTCCAGCCTGTCAGGTGTACCTCTCCAGCCCCTGATACGGAATATTTATTATTGTAGGATAGGAGTTACTTCGAATGGGCAGGAGATGCACTGGTGAAGGGAATATCCATACAGATGAGATGACAAATCTATTGACATTTTGAAATATTAAGTATGAAGAAATTCATATTCCATATGCCACTTGTACTTTTAAATCAGTTATCTTTTTTTAGCCATGGAATTGGCCTTATTTATCAGATGGCTTTCTTTTCATTTCTACCTATTCACTCTGAGAATCCTAGTTACATTCAGCTATGATATCCTTACACCGTCATAAATTTAAATGGCAAATGTAATTATTTAAAGCAGCTCACCTTGCCCCATTGTAACACAAGCCTTCTCTTGGCTCAGGTTTGTTAGATAAGTCAATGAAAGATCTAGCCCCATTAATGTGTTTCACTATTTCTCTTAAGGTTACTGATAGTCTGCTATCTTTCTCCTTTTGATTGCCTAGTTTGAGGTCCTCTGAAGCATCCTGCCAGCTACCTTGCAATCAAGTGCCCACGAATACTTTAAAGGCTGAGTTCAATAGTGTTAAGAGCCCATGATTCTTAGAGTCCCTATTTTCTACCTCCTTAAACAAAATAGTCAATAGCCCTCCTGTCATGTACTTTATCATTCTCCTTTCCCCAGTATTTCACAGAAAAGGTCTGCCAAAGACTTACTTAAGGCTCCTGTGAATCACTTATAACAATCATTGATGAATCTAGCTTTCCCTTCCATTCCTATTCTGAATTCAGTTATTCTCCATTTGCCAGAGAGTTATTTTTGCTTCTAAAATCCTTTTCTCAGAATCTCTATTTCCACCGCTATCAACTAGTTGCCAAATTCTCTCACTTTGACTTCTTTCATCCATCCTATTTTTTACATTCCCACTGCCTCTACATTGTGACTGTCCTCAGAAGGAATAATAATCTTGCTTGGTTTGGTATAATAGCCTTCTCTTCTCTGCCTCTCTCCAGCCTCTTCCTCACTCTAATCCGCATTACACATGATGGGGATAGCAACTGGACCTGTAATTTCATTGGTATAGAGGAGTCTTGGAGACCTAGTGGTTAACAACTTGTCCAACATCACAGAAACAATAATGGTCAAGTCCAAGACTAGACACTGTTCTAAGTGCTAGGGATACAAAGATAAAACCAGTCTCTGCTCTTAAGAAGCTCACAATCTAATGGGAGAGACAACATGCTAACAACTACATACTATAAAATACAGATAGGATAAGTTGAAGATAATCACAGAGGGAAGGCACTAGCATTAAAGAGCACCAGAAAAGTCTTTACAGAAGGTGAGATTTTATCTGAGAAGCCAAGGAAGCCAGAAAGTAGAAACAGGAACAGAGAGAATTCCATGCATGGGGACTAGCTAGTGAAAGCTCAGGTCTGGAACTACCTTGATTTGCTTATCATCTCCAAAGGCAGAGTTGTTGTTCAGTTCTGTTCAACTCTTCATTACCTCATTTTGGGTTTTCTTGGCAAAGATACTGGAGTGGTTTGCCATTTCCTTCTCCAGTTCATTTTACAGATGAGGCAGTGTTAAGTGACTTGCCCAGGGGTCACACAGCTAGTAAGTGTCTGAGGCCAGATATGAACTCATGAAAATGAGTCTTCCTGACTCCAGTCTGGGCACTCTATTCACTGCTCCATCTAGCAGTGGCTTCCCCATTGATGGCTTTGCAGTGTCCCAGAGTTTCTGCTATATTATCCTTTGCCCAAGGGAATTGAGAGAATATTTTATGCCACTTGTTCCAAGCATAGATGTTACCAGTTGTCTTTCTAGTCTGAACTAGAGTGGAGGTAGTAGGGATGGAAAGAAGTATATAAATTTGAGAAATACTAAAGATCTATAGGATTTGGTAATTGATTGGATTTGAAAGATAAGAGAAAGAAGAGCCAAAAATGTTTCCAAAACAGTCTGCGTGACAGCGGAATTAAAAGAAACAAAGAGGTTGTCAAAGTTAATTTGAATGGAAAGTAAATAAGTTTTAAACATATTGAAAAATATCAGAAGGACCCATTTTCTTTCACTGAATGAGAATCAGTTTGCATTTTGAAAGAGCCTTTGCTTCTTGATGGAAATATCCATGATTCATGGTTTTCAGGACAATTTCAGATAGCATTCTCTAGAGAGTCTGATCTTTCTTGTATTAAGTATAAAATGTATCCCCCCAACCAGCACAGCTATCATTGCTACTCGTTGACAAATTTACCTTTGGAAGAAGAAACTCACCTTTATTTATTCTTTTTGACCAAAAAAAAAAAAAGGAAATGAAAGTAAAAGACAAACACTTAAATGCACAGATTTTCTTTTCTTGAAGAAAAATAAAACATTGTTTTGAAAATCTGAAAAGAGTGAAGCTGAATTTTCAAAAGTACAGTAATTGCAAAATATCCTTATATGGTGACAGTCAAATCAAAGCATTAATAGGGGATATTACTTTTCAAATAGGACTTAGTGCAAAAGCATCACCACTGGAGAGCAAGAGAACTAAATGCTGTCCATGCCTAGGCAAACCAAAAGAGAAAACACAGTGAGAAAATAAGGGGAGGCACTGTCATTTTTATTTGTATTTATACAAATCGCCAGCACTTAGCACGGTGCCTGGCACATAATAAATGTTTATTGACTTTTGACTATTGATTATACTAGCCAAATGGGATCTCTTGAATGGTATATAATAATAATGACCAATCTTGACTTTAGAGAGGTAAGGAAAGGCACCTCCCTGCTTTCCTTGGATAGTAGGGTTTAAAAGGGTGCAGAATGTAACGTGTATCATTAGACAAGATCACTGTCAGTTGGTTTCTTAAACAATTTTTCTTTGTTATAAGGGAATGCTCACTGGGTGGAGGCCAGAGGATAACTGGAAAAGAAGATGAGGCAAAAACAAAAGGGCATCAGTAAGCATTTAAAAATAAAACTAAATGGGATGAGTAACACAGATTGCTTCCTTTAAAGGTTTAAAGAATTTAAGGTCTTTTATAGTATCATTCATGGTTTGCCTGTAGCTCATTCTGGAAACACTACCATGTTGATCGGTCCTAGTTTTTATTGATAGTTGAAGACAGATGGAAAAGTTACTTACATTTAACTAAAGCAGTGTTCTGGCTTATTCCCATTGGCCTCCATTCTGACTGTCAACTCAAATTAAGAGGCCTTAAATTAAAGGGAAGTTTAGATCTAAACTTCATCTAAACTTTTCGACTCTGTCAGAAGTTAATTACAATGTAGGAAGAATCAATTTAAGGACCAGCTGTTTGGATTTGTTTTAATAATGCTCAGCCCACTGTACATAATATGCTAATAAGTCTACTTACAGAGTACTCAGAAAGACATAAGTGAATCAACATGTACCCAGCCCACAATTTCCCTGATTTAGACAATAGAATATATGTCCATTTCAGTCAATGTCAGCATCAAGTATGCTCTTCCAACTCGTCCAATAGCTATTTGCAAAATCAGCAATAAAACTTCCTCAACTAAGTATCTTAGCAGCAATAACATTACATACAATGTGGCATTACATTACATTTTTCAAAATGAAGTTGTTGTTGTTGTTTTTTAATTAGAGGAGGAAAAATTCACATATCAGAGCATGAGTTCACTTATGAAATGATGTAGGTAGAATTGGGTTTGAATCCTGCCTCTGACCCTTACTAGCTATTTGACTATGGGCAAGTCATTTAACATCAGTCAGTCAATAAGCATTTATTAAGTGCCTTACTATATGCCAGGCACTATGCTAAGTTCTGAGTCTCTGAATCTTAATTTCTCCATCTGTAAAATGAAGTTCATAATACTACAATAATACCACATAAATAATACTATAGGTTACTATGAGACTTGAGTTAAATCATGTATATAAAATGCCTTATGAACTTTAAAGCATTATATAAATGTCAGCTGTTTTATGATCCCATAATTTGTCCAAAAGACAATGGCACTTATAATGTGAAATATCAGCAATATAATCTAACTTAATTTCTAATAATGGCATAGAAATGCTTACATTCCATTTCATCCTTTTTGTTGTTGTTGTTCAGTCTTTTCAGTTGTGTTCTACTCTTCATGACCCTATTTTGGGTTTTCTTGGCAAAGTTAATGGAGTAGTTTGCCATTTCCTTCTCCAGCTCATTTTACAGATGAGGCAAATAGAGTTAAGTGATTTACTCAATGGTCACACACAGCTCATAAGTGTTTGAGGCCAGATTTGAATACATGAAGATGAGTCTTCCTGACTCCAGGCCCAGCACGATATCCACTGGACCACCTAGATGACCCATTTTATCTCCACTGACCATGATTTTAGATTTCTTCAATTGATTTATTTGTTGTTATATTTTCCCATTTCCCATGCCAGGAACCATAATGATTAGGCAGACATCTAAGCCAAAAAGTATGGTACAGTGAAAAGAGCACCAGATTTAGAATCAGAGGATCTGGGTTTGAATCCTGGCTCTGCCAGTTACTACCTGTACCTGTACCTTTGGACAAGTCTCTTCACTTTTCTAGGGCTCAATTCCTTCATTTTTAATATGAAAGGGTTGGATTAGACAATGTCAGAAGTCCCTTTTGGCTCTAAATCTATGATCCTTTGAAAGCATCTATCAGGATCCTCCACTATGGACTTAGCCCATAATGGAATATATATTTAAAATTATGAAATGTGCAATTGATGCTATTATTAGTACATTTTCATTCCTATTTTCAAGGGGAAAAGTTTCCTCACATTTATTACTAAGCCTAAAATTATTTCAATTAGACTGATAAAAAATTGAATTTACAATGGAGCATTTATTAATTGTTGTATGTAACTGATGCATATAAAGAGCAGAATAGTGTTAGCATTTATAGAAATTACTATATAGTTTTACACAAACCTGATTCTGTGTTTTCTATTATTCCAAGAAGTAGGAGGCACATCAAACAATATCTATCTAGTTCCAAAAAGAACAGGGCTTTTTTCTAACACATAAAGATAAACTTTGTAAAATAATCCTGTAGCCATCACAGATCAGGTTAAACTTCAGATCTTTGCCCTAGGAATATAAAGTTAATATTATTAAAAGTACTAATGATTCAGATTTGGAAATTTATAGCCTTTATACAAAATATAAATAAGACATATAGATTGGCAGTAAATGCTGTAGAATCTTTTCAGTAAAGTGCACCTTTAGAATTCAAAGAAAAACTGATGCACAAAGTCTAATAAAGCCAATATAGTAGGGCAGCTAGGTGGCACACTAGATAAAGCATTACCCTGAAGTCAAGAAGACCTGAGTTCAATTCCAAACTCAGACACTTGACACTTCCTAGTTGTGTGACCCTGGGCAAGTCATTTAACCCCAATTGTCTCACCAAAAAAAAAAAAAAAAAGAAATAAAGAAAAAGAAAAAAGAAAAAAAAGCCAATATAACAAATTCTTGTTTCTCTGTTTCCATAAACACAAAATGAATATCCTTAATCCAGAAATCATTAAAACATGGCACACTAACACAAAGTTTAAACCTCTACCCTCTAGCACTGATCAGTGCCAAAATTAAACATACAAATTTTACTTCCATTCTCTGTACCTGCCCAGGTATATGCCCAAGAATCAGAAAGGCAGAAGTAAAAGAAATAGGGAGACATAAAGATAATTCACAGACACAATAATCAGCCTTCAATAATTAATCGTAATATAGTTGGAGACAGGAAAGCCTTCAGTTTCACCTTATCCTGGGGCTTCCAGATGTCCCAGTGGTATTTTATGAACCAAAATTAGACAAACTTTTATTCAATCCTCAACAGGCTCTAGAAAGAACTTTGTTTCTAGAGTCAGAGGACCAGGGTTCAAATCTATTTCAGTATACCACCCATGTAACTAGAGTCAAATCATCAAACTTCTTTAGGCTTTGATTTCTTCATCTCAAAAATGAGAGGATTTATCTAATGGTCCCTGAATTTCCTTCTAGCTCTAAATTGATGATACCACAATCATTCTCCAGATTTGAATCTAAAATCCAGTACAGATTTGGGAAATAAATGATGAATGCTTCTGACTTCATTTATTTAAAGCAACTATCTTAGCAAATGAAAGTTTGGTTTAAGCATTAATGCCCAAAATAACTGCTTTGAGATCAGCAGATTGCTATTTGTTTGCTTTCCCTCAAGGGTACTTGGAGATAACTGCAAAGCACTTACATAGCCTTTTTGCTTAGGCTTATTTCATCTCTTTTTTTTCCAGAAATTTTGTTTAAGTAAAGTACCAGGAATCATGCCATAGGATGTTTGTGAAGAAGTTAAATTATCTACATTTCAAATAATAAAGTATTTCTATAAATTTAGAAATGATGATGTGGAAAAATTGCATGGTGGCTCCCTTTGCCATTTCTTCCACTTGGTGGACAGTAAAACAAAAGAAATCAAGGAACCTAGTGGCAAGCTAACGATTTAGAACAGAAAGGAGGGCTACTTCCAAGAAGAATTACCTCTATTCTGGTTGACTGTATCTAGCATATATTGTCTAGTATTGCCTGGTAAATAGTAGAAACTTAAATGCTTGCAGAATTGAAAATAAATGTTTGTTGAAGAGGCATTTACAATAATATTCTTTGGTGATTTATCACCAACTTATTGGCTTATCCCACTGAATTGCTAGTTCTAAGAAAAATACAGGAAACTCTGAAAGGAATGAAGAAATGAGCATGGCCCAAGAAAGAAAATCCACAAGTGAGCAGTGGATGTATCTGCAGATAACTTTATACCTGAAAAAAAATCCATCTCTGAATCTTCAAGTTGTTTGCAGTAGCTCCAGTTATCAACCTGGAAAAGTATCTTTTAAATAGCAATATTGCATTTAACAATGTAAGATTGGCATCCAAAAAGACCCATTTCACTAAAACCCCATATTAATCATTCAATCAGTAAGCATTTATTAAGTATGTACCATGTAGGGACTGTGGTAGAAACTGGAGATATAAAAACCAAGACCAAAAACAATCCCTCCAATCAAGGAGTTGATATACCATTGGGACACACAATATGTACATTAATAAATAATTGTAGAATATATATTACATCAATGCATGGTGTTTTGAAAAGGTGGGCACTAGGAACAAGGGATTTCAGGAAAGACTTCATGTATAAGATGGTGCTTAAGCTATATCTTAATGGAAGAAAAGGACTCCATGAGGAAGAGGAGAGGAAGGAGGCATGTGGGATATCCAGTGCAAAAGGCCCAGAGATGGGAAATAGAGAGCTGTGTGTGAAGAACAGAGAGAAGGCAATTTTGACTGGATTGTGAAGTGTGGGAGGGGGAAGCACGTCCAATGAGGCTAGAGAGATAGGTTAGGGTTAGGTTTTGTAGGGCTGTAAAAATTAAACAGAGGAATTTATATTTTATCTTAGGGGCAATAGGGAGCCACTAGATTTGATTGAGTCAGGAAATCATTCAGTCAATAAACATTTATTAAGCATTTACTTTGTGTTAGGCACTGTGATCTCTGATTTCAAGGAGGTAACAGTCTAATGGTCAGACTTACAATTAAGGAAAATTACTTTGAGAGCAAAGTAAAAGAATGGACTAGAGTAGGGAGGCATGACTCAATGAGATCAATCAGGAGGTTATTGTCAATAATATGTGCAAGAAGTGATCAGGGTCTGAACTAACACTACAGGAGAAAAGGCCATTTTCATGTTTGATATGCTTAACTTGACTTCCATTTCAAGTCGTAGCATTACATTGAATGATCTAAAATTAGCATTCAAAGACATATCCATTTCACTAACATTCTAAATCTCCCTGAAACATTTCTGTATATTACTTGTTAGCTCAGCACTTTGTTGCACTGTTCATAGTGTTTGCCTATAAAACAGTAAGCTCAAGATGAGAACCTGACTAGCGGTGGCCCACCGACAGTGGATCAGGAGGCTTTTCTTCTTGCAAGAATCACATTGAAATACAAGTTTTCTAGGTCAGAGCTGGCCTACTCATCAAGAAATTTCTATACTTGAACTAATTTGCCCCAAAACTTTGTTGCTTCCTCGAACAAAAAACCTTATCGTCATAAAACCCTATCTGTAGAGTTAAATGGAAACTTGGAGGTCATTGTGTCCAATGCTATCATTTCATAGATGAAAAAAATGAGACCCAGATAAGTGAAATGATTTATCTAGTCACAAAGCCAGCAAGTAGCAGAGCTAGGATTTGAACCCAGGTCCTCTGATTCCAAAAACAGAGTTCTTTCCCAGGAAACAGGAGTCCTATTGAGAATTATTTTGTTTCTCTTTTATTTCAGTTCCCGAGTCCCTTTAACCAAAATTTTTCGTTGTAATAGCTGTACTATATCTATAGAGCTGGGCATCATAAAAAGGGGTACTTAACCAATGTAGGAGTAGTCTAATGAAATTAACCCAGAGCTAATAAAAATCACACCATGGTTAAGCCCCAAAGAAATTCATCATATTCAGAAGGTCACTCTTTTACCCATTTGTCTAATTTCCAAGCCAATAAGCATTTCAAAGTTAACATCATGTCATAATACAAGTAAATGCATTAGTTTCTTACCTCACTGTAGGGTTAAGGTAACATTAATAAATATGTATATTAGTGATGCAAATTTTGTACAAGTAAAAATTTTTGGAGTCTAATGATTTTTAAAAACTACTTGCAAAGCTTGCCTAGAATAGCTAAAGCACAATAAAAACATGGCAAAAAGGGAACTTACGGGCAAAGTTCTACTTTCAAATATTCTTTGGTTGTGCTGTTCAGAAAAAATGCTTCCACAACTGCAAGTAAAGAACAACAATCATGTTAAAAGAAGTTTAACCTTATTAAAACCAAGAAAGTTAACATGTGGCCCTTTCTTGCTCCAGAACCTTTCCTGGCTCCCTACTGGTTTAATAATAAAATAGAAACTCCTTTGTTTGGCATTTAAAGTCCTTCACAATCTGGTTCCCGGTCTACCTTATCAGACATCTCCAACTATAACTCCTCGTACCTTCCATATTCCACCCAAACAGACCTATTTGCAGGGCCTTAAATTTGGCATTATATCTCCTGCTTCTGTTTCTTTTTACAAGCTATCCCCCTTTCCCAGCGTGCTCTCTTTCCTCACTTCTTCCACTTGGAATTTCTAGGTCAGGTCCTTTCAAGACTCAGGTCAGGTATTACCTCCAACATAAGGCATTTCCTGATACTCTCAGGTGTTAGTACCCCCTAAATAACTCTGTTGTTGTTGTTCAGTTGTTTTCAATCATGTCCGACTCTTTGTGACCCCCTTTGGGGTTTCTTGGCAAAGATATTGGAGTGGTTTGCCATGTCCTTCTCCAGCTCATTTTACACATGAGGAAACTGAGGCAAACAGGGCTAAGTAACTTGCCCAGGATCACGTAACTGAGAAATGTCTGAGGCTGGACTTCAACTTAGGAAGATAAGTCTTCCTGCATTTAGTCCCAGTACTCTATCCACTGCACTATATAGCTACCCCATTTACATTTTACAGTATGCTCTATTTACATATCTTTTATATATTATCTTCTCAATAGAATACAAGCTCCTCAGGGGCAGTAAACATTTTGCTTCTGTCTTTGTATCAAAAATATCTAAGAAGCATTTACTAAATGAGACACAATGCTTTGCATACTATTTAGAATATACTAAAATACAACTCACAGTCTCTTTCCTTAAGAAGCTGGCTATACTCTACTAATTGAAATACTCATATCGTTCTATGATCTTATCAATTTGTGAATTCCTTCTCATGATGCAGATAGAACCCCAATTATGTCTGTCCTTTATATAAGACTCTTTATTTCCTTCCATGATTTAACCATAAGTAGTACACCCTAGATGTTAGGGGCCTCACTTGCTTTCTCCTGAAATTGGGAAGATATATACATGACCGGCTCATCTTCTTTTTCAACTTTACGTTTTTTGATGACAGTATTTACACAGTTTTTTTTTTTAATAGAAACAGCTCAGAGATCAGGGCCTGCAGCCAGGAAGACCTTAGTTCAAATCATACCTCAGATACTTGCTAGCTGGATGACCTTCAGTAAGTCATTTTTCTCTGACTACCTCAGTTTCTCAACTGTAAAATGGGAATAATAACAGCACCTACTTCCCAGGGTTGTTGTGAGGATCAAACAAGATATTTGTAAAGTTCTTAGCACAGTGCCTAGGTACTATATAAATGCTTATTTCCTTCCTTCATAGTTCCTTATTTGTTATGTGTTATAGCCTACTTACAACCACCAGGCATGTTTGCATTACCCTCTGAGTGATACTAAATTTTATGGAGGCCCTTCAGACACTGTAGTGGTCTATGACCAGCAGCCATACAGCACCACCAGGGGAAAACTGGTAATAAAATGATAGAAGTTTGGGGTTTCGCAATCTGCTACTCCTGTTTAACTCTAAGCCCAACTCATTATCCATTTGGAGTACTTATCATATATAGATATATGTGTGTGTGTGTATACATATATATATATACACACACACACACACACATACAGAGGATTATATGTATGTACACGTATGTTATATATGTATATATATTATATATATAACCATATACCTAGCTAATCAAAAGATTATATAGATATAGATATGTATATACACACACACGTATGTGTCTTTTTTCTTTTTGTTTCTTTTATCTTTTGGGGATACAGAACTGGTAGTAGCATTGCTGGGTCAAAGAGTATGCACATTTTTATGGCCCTTTGGGCATAGTTCCAAATTGCTCTCCAGAATGGTTGGATCAGTTCACAATTCCACCAACAGTACATGATATCCCAATTTTTCCAAATGCTCTCCAACATTTGTTGTTTTTATTTTCTGTCATATTGGTTAATCTGATAGGTGTGAGGTGATATTCAAAGTTGTCTTAATTTGCATTCATCTTATCAATAGTGGTTTAGAGCACTTTTTTGATATGACTATAGATGGCTTTGATTACTTCATTTGAAAATTACTTATTCGTATCCTTTAGACATTTGTCAATTGGGGAATGACTTCTATTCTTATAAATGACTCAGTTCTCTATATATTGGACAAATGAGGCCTTTATCAGAGAAACTTGTAAAAATGTTTTCACAGTTATGATTATTGTGAATTTCCCTCCATCCTATTTTTCCTCCTGTTTATCCTACTCTCTTCTCCTTTCACCCTCTCCATCCACAAAAGTGTTTTGCTTCCGACTATAGCCTCCCCCAATCTACCTTCCCTTCTATAATTCCCCCTTATTTTATCCCCTTCCCCTCCTACTTTCTTATAGGGTAAAATAGATTTCTATACCCAATTGAGTGTGTATATTATTCCCTCTTTCAGCCAATTCCAATGAGAGTAAAGTTCAAGCTTTCTCCCCCCCACACACACACATCTCCCATCTTTTCCTCCACTATAAAAGTGTTTTTGTGCCTCTTTAGTGTGAGAAAATTTAACCCATTCTACCCCTCTCTTTCCCCTTCTTCAAGTGCATTCCTCTTTCTTTTTTTTTAATTTTTTAAAATTTTTTTTCATTTATTTATTTGTTTGTTTATTTATTTATTTGCCAAAGCATCAGATCAGCCAGAGGTCTTTATTACATGTACATTTAACTCACATAAGGAAAGGATTGATTCTTTTTTTTTTTTCAGTTTTTTATGGTAATTTTTATTTTTTTGTTTTCAACATTTACTTCTGCAAGATTTTGAGTTCTAAATTTTCACCCCACCTCGCCCCTCCCCCCACTCCAAGATGGCATGCATTTTGAATATCCCTTCCCCTAGTCTGCCTTCCCTTCTATCTCTCCCCCCCATCTCTTATCCCCTTCCCCTTCAATTTTCCTGTAGGGCAGGATGGATTTCTGTACCCCTTTTCCTGTATTTCTTATTTTCCAGTTGCATGTGAAAACATTTTTTTTAAATATGTGTTTTTGAAACTTTGGGTTCCAAATTTTCTCCCTTCCTCCCTCCCCACCCACCCTCATTGATAAGGCAAGCAACTAAATATAGGTTATATATATGCAGTTATGCAAAACACTTCCATGGTAGACATGCTGTGAAAAACTAACACTATTTCCCTTAATCCTATCCCACCCCCCATTTGTTCTATTCTTTCTTTTGACCCTGTCCCTCCTCAGAAGTACTTGCTTTTGATTACTCCCTTTCCCAATCTGCCCTCCTCTCTATCATCCCCCTACTCTCTTGTCCCCTTCCCTCCCCCTATTTTCCTGTAGGGTAAGACAGATTTCCATACCCAATTGAGTGTGTATGTTATTCCCTCCTTAAGTCAAATCCTATGAGAATAAGATTCATTCATTCCCTCTCACCTTCCCCCGTTTCTCCTCCACTGTAAGAGCCTTTTCTTTTCTGTTTTTTTTTTGTGAGATAATTTACCCCATTCTACCTCTCCTTTTCTCCTTCTCCTAGTATAATCCTCTCACCCCTTAATTTTATTTTCCAGATATGACCCCTTCATTTTCAACTCCTGCTGTACCCTCTATCTATCTATCTATCTATATCTATATATATGTACATATAATTTTTTCCCCTCCAACTACCCTAATGCTGACAAAGGTCTCATGGGTTACAAATATCATCTTTCCATGCAGGAATGTAAACAGTTCAACAATAATAAATCTCTTATGATTTTCTCTTTCCTGTTTACCTCTTCATGTTCCACTTGAATCTTGTATTTGAAAATCAAATTTTCTATTCAGCTCTAGTCTTTTCATCAAGAATGCTTGAAAGTCCTCTATTTCACTGAATGACCATTTTTTCCCTTGAAGGATTATACTCAATTTTGCTGGGTAGGTGATTCTTGGTTGTGATCCTATCTCCTTTGCCCTCCAGAATATTATATTCCATGCCCTGCGGTCCCTTAATGTAGAAGCTGCTGAATCTTGGGTTATCCTGATTGTGTTTCCACAATACTTGACTTATTTCTTTCTGGTTGCTTGTAATATTTTCTCCTTGACCTGGGAACTCTGGAATTTGGCTACAATATTCCTAGGAATTTTCCTTTGGGGATCTCTTTCAGGAGGAGATCGGTGGATTCTTTCAATTTCTATTTGCCCTCTGGTTCTAACATATCAGGGCAGAAAAAAGCAATTGGAAGCTAGTGACTTTATGAGAAATCAAGACACTATAAAACAAATCCAAAAGAATGAAAAATTAGAAAACAATGTGAAATATCTCATTGGAAAAACAACTGACCTGGAAAATAGATCCAGGAGAGAGAATTTAAAAATTATTGGACTGACTGAAAGCCATGATCAAAAAAAAGAGCCTAGACATCATCTTTAGACACTCCAAAGAGCACATTGGAAGGAGCAGGTAGCTTTACCATGGGACATTGTGGAGGTTGGTTTGAAGGGGATGGGAGTAACAGAGCAGTCAGTGGGGAGTGGAGAATAGGGTTTGAACAATGGGAGCCAGAATTACTGGGATGGGAAGAGTATGGGTGGTGGAGTAGGCCTATGTTTGTCCTAGAGGAATGAATTCAGGTAGGTTATCATTGTCCCGGGAAGTCAGGCAGTATGTGTTGTTAGAAAGTTCCCCTCCTTCACTGTCTGTGGAATTGCAGAGGGCCAGAAGGCTAGGAGGCTCCCCTCCTTTCCAGGTAATCATTCCTACAAACTGTGGGTATTCTCCAAAGCTCTGTCCCGGGACTCCTTTTCGCTCTAGGTTATCTCACTTGTTGATCTCACCAGCTCCTATGAGATCAATTACAATATCAGATGATTTTCAGATCTATTTAGCCAGCCCCTGTTTCTTTCCCAAGCTACAGTTACAGAGCT